CGAACAACAGCAGGATGAGTGGAACGGTTCGCAGTCGCAGAGGTGCCCCACAAAGCTCACAAAACTTCCAAGTACAAAAATACTCACGGGTGGAAAGCGAACATTAAACTTTCTCTTTTGTCCGGGCATTTTGAATACTTAAATATCCGCATTAGGCTTACATTTTGAACCATTTTACGATTCGGAGTGCGGAGCTCCATTTGTTTACCTTTTACAGGAAGTGTTGAAGCAGAAATGAATGGAAGAACAGGTGGGTCGAGCCAAGGTAACGCCCCTGTCACGTGCGGCGTGGCGTTTGTAAACAGTACATTGTTACCTATGTTTTATCATTTTAATAATAATAACAATAATTTAAAAAGTCAATTGTGAATTTCTATTTTACAAGTAAATTTTTTATATTTACAAAAAAAATGCTACAGTGTCGGATAGTTACATTTAAAAGACATGGATTTCATTCTACGGTAAGGTAGGACTGTAGAGTATTGAAACCCGTTCCCGCCACTGAATAAAAAAAAAAAAACAAAAAAAAAAAAATACAATGTAAAAAAAATAATAAAGTCAGAATTCTGAGTTTTACAGTCAAAATTCCATTCAGATTTCCATTCAGATTTGTGAGTTATTAAGTTAGAATTCAGTTATTAAGTCAGAGTTCCGAGTTATTAATTCAGAATTGTGAGTTATAAAGTTAGAATTGTGAGTTAGTCAGAATTATGAGTTATTAAATCAGAATTGTAAGTTATTAAGTCAAATTTGTGAGTTATTAAATTATAATTGTGAGTTATTAAGTCAGAATTGTGTTATTAAGTCAGAATTGTGATTTATAAAGTCAGAATTATAAGTTATTAAGTCGGAATTGTGAGTTATTAAGTCAGAATTCTGAGTTATTAAGTCAGATTTTTGAGTTATTAAGTCAGATTTGTGAGTTATACATCATAATTCTGAGTTATAAAGTCAGAATTGTGAGTTATTAAGTCAGAATTTTGAGATATGAGTCAGAATTGTGAGTTAGCCTGTTAAGTCAAAATTGCGAGTTATAAACTTAGAATTCTAAGTTATTAAAGTTCTGACTTAATTACTAGCAATTCTGACTTTATAACTCGGAATTC